ATCATCATCAAATAAAATATCATTGCTTAAAAATATCATTGATAAATTGCTTAAAAAAATATTAGTATTGATCAATCGTTTAAAAAATTGCAATAAAGAAAAAATATATATATAAAAAATGAATATTCAGCAAGTTCTACCATCTCGCGATACACTTCGAAAACATATTAGCAGAGAAAATGAAACTCCTAACCAAAATGAAAAACGTCGCGTTAACGATCGAGAAAATAAACGTAAGAAAAGGGAAGAAGAAACTGCAGAAAAGCGTGAGATGCGTCTCAGAAGAGACCGTGAACGAAAACGACAAAAAAGAACAAAGCATGCTTTAGAAAGTGTTGTTGAACATCTCAATCACCAAGATGAAGTCCCAAACCAAAATATTAACATATCTCACGTAGAACCACTTCCCGTTCTTGCCGAATCTGACCAAAATCTATTACAAAATTTTCACCCAGAAATTAATAAACTTACTAATACACTTTGTTCTGTATGTAATGAGCGCTTTCCATCTATTGAGCTCATAAAGAAAGAATGCTGCTGTCGTTGCTATTATGATAAGAATGTGATAAAAAAATTCTCCAAAGAAAACAATATGGACCCGGGTGATGTACCTGAGGAATTACAAGGGCTTACTGAGATAGAGGAGATGTTAATTGCGCAAATTTTTCCTGTCGTTTCAGTGTATCATCTTCATGGAGGTCAGTATGCATACCGTGGCAATGTTATCAACTTTCCACAAGATGTATCAGAGTTTACAACTCGACTCCCTCGACATCCATCATCATTGGATATTCTTGTTGTGCGTCGTCAGTCTGCGAATAGTTCAGCGTTCAGAGATTTCAACGTCCGTCGCGTTAAAGTTACCCGTGCACTTTATTGGTTAAAAGCAAACAACTGTTATTACGCTGATATTATCATTGATAACGAAATATTACGATCTTTACCTGACAATGGTCCCATTGATGATCAGCTCCCCCAACTTGAAGATATAGAAGGCGAATATTTTGATAATAATGATGATGAAGACGAAAACATAATAACTAGCAACTTCATTCCTGCGCCTCTTCCATCTTCTAATAAAGAAAGTGCTATTGCTGATACTCTTGGTCGAATGCAAGCTAATAATCTTCCTATTATGTGGCCGAATATAGATGGAAATCCTATTAATGAGTTCCAAACTCCTGGGTACATCGCACGCGCATTCCCAACTTTGTATCCAACCGGAGATGGCGATCTTCGGTCAGAACATGTAAGAGAAATTAATCCAGCTGGATATTTCTCGCATATACTAAAATACAAAGATGGAAGATTTGCACAACATGCTCGGTGGCAGTACTTTGCGCTAAATTCACAGATGCGATGGAGAGCACTTCAAGAGGGAAAAGTATATGTTAAACAAAGTTTAAATAGAGAGCAGCTTAACGTTGAAGATGTCCAAGAGATGGCAGATAATGATAGTTGTATGGCAGATAAGATCATACGATTCGGTGAGGGCTTGCGTGGAACTCGGCAGTTTTGGAACAAGAGACAGTCTGAACTTACAGACATGATCAGGCAGTTGGGGTTTCAAAGGATGATTTTTTTTACTTTCAGTGCTGCCGATCTATATTGGCCAGAACTTCACAAGCTTATGCCACATAGCGAGAACCCAGTAACAGGATAGGATACGAGTAAACAAAGACGCCAAGACCAAATCGACAATCCACATATTGCCGCATGGTTTTTCAAAAAATGCTTTAAATTATTCTTAGAAAAAGTGTTGATTCCTAAATGGAAACTTGTGGACTGGTGGTATAGGTTTGAGTGGCAACATCGTGGCAGCACTCATGTACATGGTATTGGGAAAATACAAGATGCGCCAATTATTGAATAGGAAAGAATGAAAGAGAATGAAGAGACAATGAGTAATGTGGTGCAATACTTAGATTCATTGGTTACTACGATTAATCCTGGGCTTGACGCACCTGTACCTAATCGCCACCCTTGCCAGAAACGCTCTGATGAAATGTACGATGACCTGCAGGATTACATAGAGTTGGTTAACAAGCTGCAACGACATACACGTTGCAGTCCTTCATATTGTCTTCGTGTAAACTCTACAGGCTAACAAAATTGCAGGTTTGGATATTCAAAAGAAACAACAGAAAGCACATACTTACGTGACAATAATAGTCAACCTGAGCTCATCACAGCAAGGAACAACCCCTACATTAATCCACATAATCGACTTCAGCTTCAGGGCTAGCGTGCGAATGTCGACTTAAAACCGATTCTAAACATGAATGCCGCTATTCAATACATATCAAAATACGCAAGTAAATCAGAACCGCGGTCTGCTGCTTTCTCAGATATATTAAATCGGATTCTTAATAATAGCAGACCTGGCGATTCATCTCTTGGCGTGTTTCAGAGATTATTGCTCCATACTATTGCAGAGCGCGATATTTCCGCTCAAGAGACATGCCATCTCCTCCTTAGTATTCCCCTCTACCACTCAAGTCGTCGATTTGTTACTTTAAATCTTAACAAAGAGGCTCCACGGTGGCTTTATGGCACTGGATATACGAATGAAGAAAACTTTTCAGTAAATAGTGAAGTTGGGCGAACTGTACAGTCACCTCTGCAGAAGTATTGGAGTCGACCCATTGAACTTGAAGACTTTTCACTCTTTCAGCTTTACCTAAGGTATAATTTTTGGAACAATTAGTGGAAAGAATGCGAGTGTGAAAACATAGTACGAATTTGGCCACGACCATCACCTAAGCGTAATGGTCCTTAATGGGAAGAATTTTGTCACGTAAAGGTTCTGCTTCATGTTCGTCATAGAAATCTTAACCAATTAACTGAAAATGAGACTGATTCATGGTCAGACCTCTTTAATAAGCATCGTGCAGAGATCGAAAATGAGCACGCTGATTTACTTGGTCCCCCTATAGATAACTTGGAAAACGAATTTGTTAATGAAGAAAGCGATGATGAACGAGAAGATGATGACCAAGAAAGAGAGATACAACTTGAGTGGATGATCCTATCAGAGATGGGACCAAATGTAATTATTGAGAATTCTTCTGGGTTGGGTTCACGTAATATTGATCGAAATTACGATTGGGTTGGCGATGTTAGATGGCGTCATTCCGATCTTAATTTTGCAGACATGGCTAATTTTATATAACAAGCTCGCACTTCTGGCACTATTAATGATGAGAGCTCGGTCATTAATTGTGTTGTGGATTCTCATACCTTAAATGAGAAACAATTGGCAATATTCAAGCGAATTGAGTCTCATTATAGCGACTTGATTGTAAATCCTAGCCAAGTTGAACCACTCAGACTTATCATAATAGGAACTGCGAGAACAGAAAAATCGCATCTAATTAAAATTATTCGAGATTGTCTCCAGGAAATGGCAAGGATTTATAACGTCAATACCCAATCACCTGTACTTGTATTTGCACCAACTGGAGTTGTAGTGTTCAACATTCACGGGACAATGGTCCACTCAGCACTCTCAATTCCAATAGGAAGTGCTAATTTAGATATAGACGGTGAACGATTAAAACAACTACAAAAAAGACTAAACGGTGTGAACTATTTTATCATTGACGAAAAAAGTATAGTTGGGCGTCGAATGCTTGCCGTAGTTGATATGCGACTACACCAAGCATTCCCTGAGCATAAAAATCAGCCCTTTGGTAATCGGTTAGTTATTCTTGTTGGCGATTTTGGTCAACTTTCTCCAGTGCTTGATGAGCCTATGTACTCACAAACCTTCCGACGTGATCCATTATCAAACGACTGTATTACTACATATAAACAATTCCAAGAGGCCTATAAACTTGATATGGTTCAGCGTCAATCAGGAGATTCGGAAGAGCAACGTAATTTCAGAGCTATTCTATTGCGGCTACGTGATGGTGAATCTACAGTAGCTGATTGAAAAGTACTTGCTGCGCGATTTATTGATTCACCAACCATTTTATCTCCAGAACATGATCAATTCTCAGATGCCACATGCATCTTTCCCCGGAAGATCGATGTTAACGAATTTAACATCGACAAACTCAAATCTTTGAACTGCCCTGTTGCTAGAATTAATGCCATTCACAAAGGTGGCAATGAAGCACGTAAGGCCGATTCTGATACAGCAAAAGGCCTTGAGGCACAATTATTACTAGCAAGGGGTGCACATGTTATGCTCAGGGCTAACTTATGGACAGAAGTAGGATTAGTGAACAGCTCAATGAGCATTGTCCAAGAAATCGTATTTGAAGAAAATCAAGGCCCACCCTCCCTTCCTATTGCACTTCTAATAGAGTTTGATAATTACACTGGTCCTGCTATTACGACTATAGAAGGTAAAAAACTCATTCCAATTTCACCCATTAGACATACCTGGGAGGGGAAAAAAGGAATCTGCTCGCGAATGCAGGTCTCTGTTATTCTTGCATGGGCTATTACTATACATAAGAGCCAAGGGCTAACATTACAAAAGGCTGTAATAGATCTCGGGAAAAAGGAGTATGCTGCCGGCATTTCATTTGTGGCAATTTCCCGAGTCTGTGCTCTCAGAAATATCATTTTTAGACCATTTTCACTTGATAGACTTCAGCGTATCAAAACTTGCAAAAGGCTACAAGAAAGAATGGCTGAGGAAGGACGGCTAAGTTCCATGATTCCTCA